TTTGATTACAAATTCTTACAAAATAGTCCCAAAAGGCTCATAAGTGTGCTTGATTGCAGGTTTGATCAACAAAGTGGCGGGATGTCAAATATCGGCTCAAAAAGGAGTAAAACCTGCACAAGTATCAAAGACAAAGACAACTCAGGACAAACTAGCCTAATGCGGCCGCAGTCCATTCTATGCGGTCCGCACTAGGGAGATTCAGAGAGATAGAGTTTCAGGCATCAAGTCAGTGCGGCCGCAGAAGGTTTTGTGCGGTCCGCACTGAGGCACCGCGGCCGCACTATCATTTTGTGCGGTTCGCGGAAGCAAACTTCAGAGAGATGCCAAGTGCTAAGGATCAAGCTTGTGCGGTCCGCGATCGTGTTTGTGCGGACCGCGCTAGTTGCCTCCGCGGCCGCAGTGCATTTTGTGCGGTCCGCGGAGCCTGAGTTCAGAGAGCCAAGATTTCAAGTCCAAGAGCCTAGTGCGGCCGCAGTCCATTTTGTGCGGCCCGCATTGACCCCGCAGGGGTATTTTTGTCCAGTTTTTCCAGCTTAGTATAAATAGAACCTTTTTCCATTTTTAGGGTATCAGACATTACAGCACTGTAGCTGCGCTCGTGAGAAGACCTTTCTTAGCTATTTTTGGGCACTTTAACGTAGTTTTAGCAATTGAAACTTTGTATTTACTTTAGTAATTAATTAATATGTCTTTCTCTTCATCTATTTCTTTGATTTTCTCTTCAAGCATGAGTAGCTAGACCCATTAGCTAGGATTGTGGCTCAACCCTAGTGTGGGTAATTGATGGGTGTTGTAAATTAAGGTTAGATTGATTATGGGTGTTTGTTATTTGGGTCAATTTTATGGTTTAATTTATGAATTAGTGGTTGCAAACACTAGTTTGTGCTAAGTTGACCTAGGCTCTTCTTGAGAAAGAGAGTCTAAGTCTCAAAATTGACCCAACAAGGAAGTGGGATGGATTCAAGAGAATTGATAGTCCCAATTAAATGGTTAAACCTCGAGAGAGTAATTACCCGACTTGAACCCTAGTTGCTCGGGCAAATATGCATACCCAATTGGTCTCGAGAGAGTCAATTAGGCAAAACCACTCTTTCTACCGAGAGGTGTAGAGTGGGTAGTATTGAGCAACGGTTATAACATATTTCTCCAATCATGTCAATCGTGCCTTAGATGCAATTACCGGTCAATTAGCCACCTAGGTGAAAGTCACTACCCTAGTGCCCTTTTAAACCATTAGATACAACTTGTAGCAATTTACTCTTAGTATAATTTAGTTGCAATTATAATTTATAGTTTGATCATAGTAGAATATAAAGAAAACCCCAAAAATTATAAGAAGATCAATTAAGAACACACACGCGATCCTAAGCTAAATAGATACTCGACTCCAATCCTAGCTCTCTGTGGATTCGATCCTGACCCATAAATCGGGTAAAAGCTATTGCGACCCTCTCTCGCTACTTTTTAGTGGTGCGGAGTTGGCAGCGATCAGGGAGGAGATCAGAGGAGAATAGGAATTCAGGGGGAATAGAGGGATAGAGAAAAGAGGTCGAGAGAGAAAGAGAATATAGAGAGAGAAATATAGAGAAATATTCATTCATTTATCATTTTGCATATCATAAAATGTAATAAAAGGGGATATATATAGGTCCCAGTATATTGAGCTAAGTAGCTATTGCTAATGCTAATCTACTATTGTTAGCTAACTAATACTCTTACTAGATATTTTGTCAGCTCATGCATCCATGTAGCTTGACTAATTCCCCGTCCTTGCTTTAGTAACTATTTTACTTGTATCAATACCCTCCCGTAGAGATCACCCTTGTCCTCAAGGGTGAGAATATCCACCAGGATCAAAAGGGAACCAAGAATATGTAGCATTGAGTAGTACAATCCAACAAGGTTGCTTGAGAGAAGATTCCAACTGGTTACAAGCATGAGTCAAACCAACATCCAGAACTTGGTAACACAATTTGCTGATCTCAAGCATAATGCAGTGAGCCAAATTACTTAAACAATCAGGCCTTGCAGTAGCATACAAACCAAAGAAACAAGTATCTATATAGTTGGTATTAAAAGCCCATATGCCAACCTTCTGTGCAAGCTCGGAACCCATGTGCTTTCTTATTTCAAACTTGTTAAAGTTTATATCAACTCTAGTAATTTTGGTAGCACCACATAGCCTTGCTCCCTCTGTGATTGTAGATTCAGATATAGCCACAACCTGCTTGCTATAACCATTCATTTTCAACAAATCTCCAAGTACAAAAGCCATTATAATACTAGGTAAAAGTCCAAAACCAGCTTCTTGAAGTTTAGGAACCATATGCCATTTGTAGCAGAATGCCATTAGAACCATATCAAAAGTTAAGTGCAATAATTTATATCTTGCTTATAAGAACATGTTTGGCTCTATCTTCCCAAGAAGCACTGAATTCAGTGACTTTTACTCCAGAAACATTATCAAATAATCTCTTTTTTTCAATCTGTAGTATACTAGCTTCCACCAATTCCATAGGCAACTTGTAGCAAAGTGCCATTAGAGCTTCTTCCCATCAGTCAACATTTCTCAATTCAATATCCACAACCTTAGGATACATAAACCACTGCCATCCAGTATCCCACACTCTCCTCATGTCATCAGAAGATCGAGGCAAGCAAAATCTGTTGGAAAAATCCATCAATTTTTCTCGAACATCATTTGTCTGACAAGCTAACTTCATACTAGTCAAAGCATTCAAACCTATTCCTGGATCCCATAGGGGAACCATCTCATTTCCAACTAAAACAAGAGAGAACTTGCTTTCATTTATTATGAACACATGTACTACCTTGACATGATCTCTTCCTGTCATTCCATCGGAAACCTTGTGAGCATTAGTTATCCTCTCAGCTTCATTGAAAAGTGCAGGTAAACACATGTCGTCTAAAGCATCTAAATCACTCTCAACAGCACCATAAACTGGTTTTGGCATTTTATCAAGCACCTTGTGGGCAATATTCCAGCTCTCATTTTCCATGAAAAGTTCAGCCAATGAATGTGTCTTCCAAAGAGTCTATATCATTATAACTTTCATTTTCCATAAAAAATATATTTAAACACATATCCTCCAAAACTTCAGCACTCTCTATGAGGACAGAATTTGAAGGAGAAGTTTCAAGGTTAAACTTACCATTTTTGAAGCACTTCCAACACAAGGAGAGATCTTCATGTTTTAGGCGATAGTACCTCCCACTAGAACAAAAAACAGAGCACGACTTGCAATAGTATTCACATGACTCTTCAGATTTTACCCATTTTTTGCTCAATTTGTCTTCCAATTTCTGAAAATGCCTGTGATTTTCAGCCACCTCCTTCGACTGTAGGTGTAAATGCATTTCATCAATTGAATGTTTGAGTGAACTAAGTATCTGGATAAGCTCTGCTTGCTTCCGATCCATATCCTCGCGTAATTCCTGTTGCGTTTGCTCTATCACAACTCGAAGCCTTAATTGTCGAGCTCTTAGATTCTCGTACTGCTTTTGTAAATCCATAGCTGGATTGCCAGTTACCACATTCACTGCTTTCCGATGGCCTATAATTCACCGAGCTCTGATACCAATTGATACCAAATTATTGGTATCGAGGTGTAGAGAAAATCAGAGAAGAGAGAAGAGGGGGAGGAGATCAGAGGAGAATAGGAATTCGGGGGAATAGAGGAATAGAGAAAAGAGGTCGAGAGAGAAAGAGAATATAGAGAGGGAAATATAGAGAAATATTCATTCATTTATCATTTTGCATACCATAAAGTGTAATACAAGGGGATATATATAGGTCCCAGTATATTGAGCTAAGTAGCTATTGCTAATGCTAATCTACTATTGTTAGCTAACTAATACTCTTACTAGATATTTTGCCAGCTCATGCATCCATGTAGCTTGACTAATTCCCCATCCTTGCTTTACTAACTATTTTACTTGTATCAGATCTTGAGGTGTTTATAATTTGAGGAAAATAGCGAGAATTGAGTGATTTTATATTCTAAAAGAAACAAAGATGGTTTTTTTAGGCAATTCCTAAAACTTAGGTGACCATCCAGGGAATTAATTGAAATTTCAGTATACAACTTTTAAAGGAGTGTTTTTTATTTTTCTTAAATATAAAATATAAATCCACCCTGATTTCCAAATTAATAAATTATAAAATACTTTTACATAAAATTAAGAGAAGTTTAAACCATTAAAAATAATCGGATATAGTGCAAATCACAAAAGATAAAATATATTAAGGATTCAAAATGCAAAGAACTCAAATACTTACGTTGAAAATTAGGTACCTTAATTCTTGTATTCAAAATACTGTTGTTGGTGAGAAGTACACATGCATTTCCTAACAAAAGGCTGTCATTTCAAGAAGAAAGAAGACTTATAGCCTGTTTGGCCAAGCTTCTTTTTGGCCAAAAGTGCTTTTTTTTTTTGCCAAAAGCACTTTTGGCCAAAAATTGAGGTGTTTGGCCAAGCCTTTGGAAGGAAAAAAAGTGCTTTTGAGGAGAAGCAGAAGCAGAAAAAAGTAGCTTCTCCCCAAAAGCACTTTTTTGAGAAGCACTTTTGAAAAAAATACACTTAGAAGCAGTTTTTTAAAGCTTGGCCAAACACTAATTGCTGTTCAGAAGTGCTTTTCAAACTAATTAGCCAAACACAAACTGCTTCTCACCAAAAGTACTTTTGAGAAAAGCACTTTTGAAAAAAAACACTTCTCAAAATAAGCTGATTTTTGCAGCTTGGCCAAACGGGCTATTATTTGTAAGTGAGAATGCGTGCCACTAGGCTTATTATAAAAAAAATGTAAATTATTTCTACAAATTACGTAATTTTTATATTATTAATTTTATTTAACCAATAAGAGCAAATTATTACTTTATTTTTAGAAGTTATTATCTATTACTCCTACTATAGATCAACTTAACTGATGGTGCAAAAAATTTTAATGTGAGAACTTTGTATTACAGTAGCGGGGCCTCAAAAATCTTGCACCAGAAAAGCATTTTCCAAATTTCCACCTACCACGCCTTCCATCGCTATTCCCACCTAAACAATCTTATAATCTTATAACACTACGAAATTGAAAGTCTCTTAACCACCAAACCATCCACAAATCGTCGACGCCACAACTTTTCTGCTTTCCCTCCGCCACACCAAACCTCCATGGCGTCGTCTTTCTGCCCAAAACAGGCTTTATCTTTCACCAGTTCAGCCCACCAACTTCATCAATCCAGAGCAATTCCACGTGACATCCACGTGCGTTTCCCTTCTTCCGGCTCTTTACCTTCTTCTTCCAGGTGTGGGGTGAAGTCGAGTGCCGCACGATTTAAGGTGCTGGCAACTTCTGCGACGAAAGTGATGGATCAGTCGCCGAGTAAAGCGAGTTCTGAGGCTCCTACAGTTGTTGAAGTGGATCTGGGTAATCGGAGCTACCCGATTTATATTGGGTCTGGACTTCTTGATCAACCTGACCTCCTTCAAAGGTACTTTACTTGTCCTATCTGCTGCTTATTTCTTAGCTTTTACTCCTTATGCATTCGAATTTTGAACGATGTCTATTCGGCGACCGGAGTTGCACCGTTTAGTAAACTTTAAATTGAGTATATAAGAAGGATTAAACTAGACAGAGACCTCAAGATTAACCTTGGAGTTAAAAGCTTTCTTTAATACAAAAGGAAAGAAAAGTTTTGCATTCTGTAGTATCATTTCAATTGATAGAGAGACGATAACTACTTCTAATTAAATATGTGGGTGATGTTAAGTGGAATTAGTAATATAATTCTGTAGCTGAAAAGCCCGTAAGAAGGAAGGAGAATTCTTAAACATCTTATGAAGAAAAATGTAACTGCTGAATCAGGATAGAGTACGGGATAAGAATATTTGATTGTTTCTGAATTTGGTTGTTTCTAAAGGCATAATGACAGGTTTTTATGACGTTCTCAATTATCATTCCCATGATGTCCTAGGTGGTATAGAGGTTATAATCATATGTCTGGCTCAATTCTAATGTTCGGTAATATGCAACATGTCTCATGCTTGTAGGAGTTAACTTGTCATTGCCAATATCTTTTAGTTTTCATAGTCTGTAAAGAGGGAAGTTCCTTTTGGTGGTTGTGGTTGAGTGTGCAGAACTTTTTTTTTTTTTTTTTTTGATAAGTGAAATACCCTTTGACTAATTGACCAAGATGGTTGCGCAGTAAATAAAACTATAAAAGGAAGAAAAAAACAAGTACAAAGTGGAAATGTAGGCTAATTGTGATCTCCTATCAAGCCTATACAACCATTTATACGAAATGGCATTCTTTCTTCACACCAAAGTATACATTATACAAGAAGGCGTTATTTAAGCTTCTCCTGCTGCCTCAAAATATCTTTCCATTTTTCTTTCATTTCATTTAGTCCAAAAAGGCATAGTGGACTAGTTTTCCAAGAGTCTTTCCCCAAACACCCTTAACCTTCAAATTGCCATAGCTTCTAACACTGCCTATCTGTGCACTCACTCGATGTCAAACTGTAAGGACACATTACAGTGTGACAGCATCTGATCACCATCCTCCGCGTATTCCTTGCACCTGCAACATCAACTTGCATTTAAGCAGGAGAGAGAAATGTTTACTTGTTGTGCAATGAGTCCAGTGCCTACAGAAGTTCTTCATTTCTGCTCCTGTAGTTTGGATTTAACTGGAACTTTAGCTACTTCTTAATTGAGTAATCAAACTAGATGTATTTTCATAATTTAATGGTAGTGTAATAAAAACTCATGAATGTTGGATTTCTCGTGCTAGTATGGAACAAAAGGTGAGCGGAGATTGGTAAAAGTGCACATGTGAATGCAAGTTACAAATGATGGGTTAGCTTCACTTATTAATAGTCTTCCTTGTATGTAAAAGCGGATAACAATGTACTCAATGTACTCATTTATGATGCATGTAATAATAGATGGTGAAGGTGCATATAAATGCACATTAACAATTCCTCAACAAACTTCTACTATTTGAACTAAAGATTTTCATGAAAACATAGTCCACTACAAGCTATTACGGATCGAAAGTGAGTCACAATTAGTTAATCTGCCAGTTTGCAACATGAGATGTATTCAAATCAACTTATTGACATCCAAGCAGCAAAACCTAGGATGAGGTTACAGACTGCAGTAGGTTTCGTTTCCTGTAGTAAGTGACTAAGTACAAATGAACACAGAAAATAACAAAATGGAAAGGCAGTGAGGTGAACAAATGTTAATGCTGCTAGTCACTGTGATCCCGACTTTCCTTTAAAAGAGGCCCAAAGTGGTTTGGAGAACCAAATGAGATTGGATTATGCTACTCGGGGTTGCTCAGCACCAATATAAGATATTTCTCACTCTCAAGGTTGTGGTTTCATTTGCTGATTTGTGGGTATTGAGTACCTGCACTAGTAAATTTATAAGGTTTCACAAAGAAATATGATAACCTTAGAATTTTGGTTTCATTCATCTGTTGATTGGTTGCTTTTACTTGTTCAAAGGAATTAAGAAATCAATATGATTGATCATTATAGTTTTTTTTGCCTAACTTGGGAGCTGTTTCCAGTTCTGTTTTGGAAACTTCTTTTATTGTGTGTGTGTATGTCTGTCTTTATACTGGTTTAAGGGTTGTGAATTCCTGGGTTTAATTTCTTCCCTTGTCTTATTTGCAGACATATTCATGGGAAGAGAGTCCTTGTAGTTACTAACACTACAGTTGCCCCTCTATATCTTGATAAAACTATAAGTGCTTTGACAGACGGAAACCCTAATGTTACTGTAGAAAGTGTCATTTTGCCAGATGGTGAGCAATTTAAAAACATGGTAAGCAGCATTGGGTTCCAAAAATATGAGTTTCAAGAGAAACATTTTATCCTTAAGGTTTATGTGACGTTGTCAATATGCTATTTCAGGATACTCTAATGAAAGTCTTTGATAAAGCCATCGAATCAAGGCTGGACCGTCGTTGTACATTCGTCGCCCTCGGTGGTGGAGTCATAGGTGACATGTGTGGATATGCTGCCGCTTCCTACCTGCGTGGAGTTAATTTTATTCAGATTCCTACAACTGTTATGGCACAGGTTCTTTGAGTTTTTCTCTTTTCTATAATCAATGTACATGTGACTTGAAATGTGCATTATCATATCTAGTTTGATATGGTATGGATTCTTCACTTAGTGATGCTAACTTGTGTATCCTGTTCTTTGGCCATAGTTCTCTGAGTTTTTCTCTTTTCAATAATCAATTCCATGCGACATGAGATTTACATTAATTACACATTATCTTTTCTAGTTTGATATGACTATGGATTCTGCTCTTTAGTGATGCTTAATTTGTATCCTGTTCTTTTGGTCCACCGTCTTTAGGTAGATTCTTCAGTTGGAGGCAAAACTGGAATAAACCATCCGCTTGGTAAAAATATGATTGGAGCATTTTACCAACCACAGTGTGTGCTTGTAGACACGGACACCCTGGATACTTTACCAGATAGAGAATTAGCATCCGGCCTTGCAGAGGTGATAAAATATGGACTCATTAGAGACGCTGAGTTCTTTGAGTGGCAAGAGCAGAATATGCCATTATTATTAGCAAGGTAAAGGAATAGTAACCATTTGTATGGTATTGACTAGTTGAATTGTCAACTTTTAGTTTGTCCAGCTTTCATCTCTAGAAAGAGACTTACATAGGCACAAAATGTAATTTTTCTACCATCTTATTTGGCCCATTAAGAATGTAAGAGCATACCCTGATGAGAAATAGAGGAATCTAAGTGGAGGAGTTAAGCATCCCACCCATTTGTTGGGAATATGTTAAAGTCTTTTGAGCTTTATATTGTGCTTCAGTTGCAAGTTAGTCTTCTTTTTGTAGTTAGCATTCACTGTATAAATATAAAATGGTATCATTCTCTCATATCATAGCCTTTTCTCGATAAATTGAAATTGTCATTCTAAAGGGCAAGCTGGTTTCAAAAGTATATACAGCTAAGTTTAGTATCATTCGAACTGAGTCATCCATATCATAACCTTAAGCTTTCATACTTGCTAAGACTAATGTAAGCTGGCTATCTGATGCAATTTCACACGTTACTGAAAATGGTTATCCTTTTTCCAGGGACCCCACTGCATTTACCTATGCTATCAAGCGTTCCTGTGAAAACAAAGCAGAGGTTGTTTCTTTAGATGAGAAGGAAAGCGGACTGAGGGCAACTTTGAACTTGGGTCATACCTTTGGTCATGTAAGTTTTTGACAGTTGTTGTGCAATCCTGTTGCTGCTATTTTACATGAGCTCGATGACCATCTTTTGGTGTCTCATTGTTTGATAACTTGTTTGCTTATTAAGACTGTCATAGTTAAGGGAAATTAGAAGAATTGTGTCTCTACAACTTTATGCTAATTTGTAATTTTCAATCTTGTTTTATTTGTCTTCATCTTAAAACGCTCGAGGGACTGTGACACTTCTGGAAGTCTCCACTTCCTTGTCTAAGAAAGAATGCTTTTGTTGATGGGCAAACAAGCAAATATTTGTATCTTAAGGAAGATATTAAGTTGTTACATAGTCTTCTGTTAAAATCATTTTCTGAGTTAATGTCCTCTCACTAGAAGAACTATTATTTGCAGGCAGTTGAGACTGGCTTTGGCTATGGGCAGTGGCTTCACGGAGAAGCAGTAGCTGCTGGAACGGTATAGGTTTCATCTTTCATCACCTCATACGCAAGTGACCTCTTCCCCTACTGGACAGCCCCTCAGAAACATGAAAGAAGAAGAAAACATAAGAAAATAAAGAGGGATAGTTTTTTTAGTAGTATATGTGATGCATAAACTGGGTGCTATTTTCTTTTCAGGTCATGGCTGTTGACATGTCACGCCGCCTTGGTTGGATTGATGATTCACTGGTACAACGGGTGCAAAATATCTTACAACAGGCAAAGCTGCCAACTTCACCTCCAGAAACTATGACTGTAGAGATGTTCAAGTCTATCATGGCTGTAAGAGTCAATAGTTTGTTGAGCTCCTAATAGCTAGAAGTCATTGCTTCAACCATTGATTCTGTTGTTTTTTTGGTGTCAGGTTGATAAAAAAGTGGCAGATGGGAAGCTAAGACTCATCCTTCTAAAAGGTCCGCTAGGTAACTGTGTCTTTACCGGTGATTATGACCAGAAGGCCCTCGATGAAACACTGCGTGCATTTTCCAAATCTTAAACAGTCGTGGATGTAACATACAAGTAAATGCTTGGTTAAAAAACGAAGCCATAGTGATCTGCTACAAACAACCCTTAGTCCTTTCTCTGAAAAGGTTGCTCAAGGTTGTAGGCAGCTCTGGTTTCGCTTGGAGGTATGCGCATGCCCTCCATGAAATACTAGATGCCTTTTTGCTAGTTTTTACCCTTGGTTAGTGTAATATTTTGTCCGGCTTTCAAATCTTTGTATACAGCATTTGTGTGTGTATTTCTATGCCGTCATTTGTTCATTATACTTGTACGGCCTTATCTTGTTGGATACTGGCTTAATAGCTTAATAGTGGAGCCCCATTAACTGTTGTACCAAGAATATTCATAATGGATGAGTTGTCTCTTCAATTAATATACTTGCTGAATCAAATTATGCTCTTCTTTAGCTGTTTATTCCAGAAATGATGATAAAACTAGTCCCATGTACTTATATTTCGGGTCAAACATATTAACTTATTGCTCATACAGCTAACACAGCCAATGACGGAGGGGGTCAGCTCGAGACGTGGGAATAAAATCGTTTGTGCATGAGTTTGCAATTTTGGCCACTTCAATTAGATCACTGACTTGAATTTAATGACTGATTCCTTTTCAATTAGAAGGAGAGTCTTGTAGCAATGGTAAATTTGTCTTCAAGTGACTTATAGGTCACGATTTTGGGACGTGAAATCAGCCACTGATATCAGAGTAGGCTGTCTATATCACACCTCTTGGGATGCCCTTACCCCTGAATCCCGTGTGAAGGCGAGATCTTCTTGCACCGGGCGGCTCCTTTATTCCTTTTCAATTAATACCTCTATGTTGGGAAGTCTTGCAAGCCAATATCCACCTGCTATATAACCCCCTCTAAAACAGCTGGAATTTGGCCATTAAATTAAGCAAACAAATCGGTGGGAACATGGTTGTAGTAGTTGCACCAAATTTCATTCTAAAATGTTTGTACCTAACAAAAGTTAATAAATTTGTGGATACCTACTTGTAGCGTCAATTTTTAATATTGTTGCAGTCGTCACAATCGTCATAACAGCTCTTTCTCATTTTATCACCCACGTCACCACATCTCTTATCAGATCATTTGTACACATCAATATTTGGTCATTTGTTTCTGTTAATCATCAACTTTAACTATATGCCATTAATAAGCATGTTTTGATAATTCAAAAATGTTTAGATATAGAGTTGTTGCTTAATGCACTGCTTTCTGAAATTCCACCTATATATAAATGATAATTCTACAATAAGTTACTAAATTTTAGATAATTTTTTGTTACTTTCACATCAAATCCTTTTTAATGGAAGAATGGACAAGGAGGAACAAAAAGGAAAAGATAGGTGCATGTCTTTTCCGAAATTCTACGCCACTGAACTCCAATTTCTACCAGTAACTATGATTAGGTTGTGCGAATCAATTTCATAATATTGCAATAATTATTTTTGGATTTTCAGATACTTTCTTACTCCTATCATTGACGTAGTTTGGAGGCCAACTACAAATTTCCAACTAAGATTTGTTTTTTATATAATAGATCTTATATAGTCCATATTAGCTACATAATGCTGGATAATACAAGGCTACTAAACTAGTCTATAGTAATTACTTATAACACTGTTCACTATATGTATTGTAATTTTGTTTAAAAAGATGTATAGGGTGAGATCTGTTTTTTCCTCATTTCAGGAATTCATGTTGGTCAGTAAGAATTAAGAATATAGTAGAACTTTTCCTTCGTGGCTCACCTCGCTATGTAAGAATTAAGAAACAAAAACTTTAGTTTAGACATATTTTTCAAGTGGGAGATACTTCACCCAATTTTGAAAATTGAAAGAGGCAAACGTTTAAAAAAGAGGAAACAACGATCATGGCCCAGCTAAAGTCTAAAAAGAATATTTAGCAACACAAAGAATATTTTTTTTTTTTTGCTTTTATTCTAATTAAAAAATGATAATTATAGTACTCTTAAATAGTATACTCCATTTACTTTTATTCGATGGAGATAATGTAGTAAGACGCTAAAATTTAATACACCTTCTAAATTTACGACGGAAAAGACTTGCCATAAATCCAAAATTTGATATTATAGCAATGGAGCTAAAGTTGTCCCTAAGTATTATCTAAACTTGTTTAGTCAATTTTAATGTGAATGTAAGAATTACGTTTAATTGGTTTTATTTGAGATCACTTGAATTTTATTAACTTAGTTGAATTAATATCTTATCACTATTGAATCTATAGAGCTCTTAGAAACCTAATTACACCAATTTAATTGAAATACATGCTATAATGTCTTTTACATATATTCTTATCGTCTCACAGCAGTTAATGTAGTATATATTTTTTTTTAATCTTACTTTGTCATTTAATTATAGTAAATAAATTAATATACTTTTAGATTAAACATTGGTGTAATTTTTTTTTTTTTTGCACAAATAGCCAAAATGATAATTGAATGAACACTTCAACGGCATTATTTCCCGGCTAAAAGAAAGGGCTACTTAACAAAGAAAAGACCCATTTCTCTCTCTCTACCTCTAATTTTCTCTGTCTAGATCTGGGATCCCCAAATTTCGACTTCTCCCCATTCTCTCTTTTACAATTTCTCCCCTTTTTCTCATTTTCATTTCACCACCCTACTCCCTTTCCCCTCTTCTACATTTCTCTCTGAATTCCCCCTCTTCGTAGAATTAGGGTTAGGGTTTGGCCAACAGAAAAAGGAAACAGCATTTGACATGTCTCGGTTTTCTCTGCTGGGTTTTCATGCCATTCTACATGTACAACGCCACTGAAAGGAATTTCAGAGGTTAAAAAAGAAAAACAAGTACCTCTCCCCCACATACCACATTTCAATCTTTTTTCTTTTTTTTCTGGGAATCAGGTCTTCTCAAGAAGATCTGAGAAGAAAAATGAGTGCTTCGAGGTTTATAAAATGTGTGACGGTGGGTGATGGTGCCGTTGGAAAAACGTGTCTCTTGATTTCTTACACCAGCAACACCTTTCCCACGGTTTGTACTTTTTTTCCATTTTGCATCTTTTCCCTTAATGTGGCTCTTGTTTTACCTGTAGATTGATAAAAAAGGGTAGTAGCATTTCTGTTTATACGGTATTCATTGTGAAATTATTGGGGCTTGTAGTTTTTTCCTCTTATTGAGTGATGAAAATGAAATAGGTTGTGGTTTCTTTATTTTGTTATTCAAGTTCTATGTGGTGGATAAAAATGGTATCTTGTTTGTTCTCTTGGAGAATTCTGGGTTCACAAACTTGTTTGATTCAAGCCACTTTTTAATGCTTACTAATTAATGCTTTATTACAAATTATCGTTATGTAATAAAAATTGCATCTTCTTTGTTCTCTTAGAGAAAGTTTTTGGTTCCCACAATTTATTGGCTTTAGACCACATTTGTAATTATATACAGAGTTATTCCGTTATTACAAAGTTAGTACGTGCCCCTTTTTCAATCTGGCGGTGATAATTAGCAGTAAATGTGATAAAACCGAGGAATATAATGCTCTTTAATATTAACTTGATGATTTTTGGATCACTTCAATTAATGTTCACCTCTGCTGCATATAAATCATTGTTGTCTTTGGAGAAAGTTGTGTATTATCATATCATCAGGATTTCATATGTTTTCTGTATTCTGAGACTGATATCAATTGTTTTCCCATGATTATTTGAAATGTTTGACAGGATTATGTGCCTACTGTGTTCGATAATTTCAGTGCAAATGTGGTCGTCAATGGGAGTACTGTCAATCTAGGGTTGTGGGATACAGCTGGTAACTATTTTAGACACCATTTACCATGCATTTGCTACTGCGCTTCTGATTACTATCATGTGTTAATATATTTCGATGCATATATCTCTACCATGAAAAGTTTGCTGTCCACATTTATTGAGCCTGATGAGTTTTATACGGATTGCAGGACAGGAGGATTACAATAGGTTAAGACCTCTGAGTTACCGTGGAGCTGATGTTTTCATCTTGGCATTCTCTCTCATTAGTAAAGCCAGCTATGAAAATGTTTCCAAGAAGGTGCGCTTCTGATTCTGTTTCGTTTGCTTTACTGAGTTTTCTGATTATCCAGTATTAAGTTTGTTTTGTTTATATGTTTCCAGTGGATTCCTGAGTTGAAGCATTATGCCCCCGGTGTTCCAATAGTGCTTGTTGGAACAAAACTTGGTGAGAATTCCATTAAACATGATCTGATCTTGTTTTGTTTCATATATCTAGGCATGGTGGTGATCAAGTTATCTCTTCAATCTTTTCTATTTGTTGTTCAATTCTGGGTGGTAAAAAGAACTAAATCAGAGGGAAAATACTGTGGCAATAGAAGAATGTTGCAGCAACCTATGACCTAACTTGCTTGATTAAGTGACCTTTGATTGCTTGTAGTCGACTAGTCATAAATGAACCTAAATACAGTGGAATGGATCTAGATGATTCATATAGCAGACCCCTGATGGATTTGGGATTAAGTTGTATTGATTGATTGATCTAAGTGTCTTAGTAACTGATAAAGTTTTAAGCAAACTGCTGAAGAGCAAACAAAGAGAATGGCATTCTATCCTGTTGAGCTGGTGAATGGTTGGTGGGTAGTAAGTGGGGTTATTGCTGCTATTGCTCATATGTTCTGACGTTGTGTTATCTACTTTCCACCTGTTTTGGACACAGATCTTCGGGATGATAAGCAGTTCTTCATAGACCATCCTGGTGCTGTGCCAATTACTACTGCTCAGGTAAGGATCACCCGCACCCTTCCTCCCTTTGATGTTCTGCTGGATATTATGCCTTGCTCTCTCTTTTTGCTATTATTTTGACTTCCCCTATTTCAAATTTTAGGGTGAGGAGCTGAGGAAAACGATTGGTGCACCTGCTTACATTGAATGTAGTTCAAAAACACAACAGGTATGTTTTCTGTGGAGCATCTTATTCTTTGCACTGAAGTTCTTTTGAGATGCTTCTTGTTAAGTGTATGGTTGAAATGTCCTTGCTGTAGAACGTGAAAGCAGTCTTTGATGCTGCTATTAAGGTCGTGCTCCAGCCACCCAAGCAGAAGAAAAAGAAGGGAAAGGCCCAAAAGGCATGTTCGATTTTGTGATCAACAGCAGGTCCAATGATGCTACTGGTCACAGTTCTCCTTGTAATCTTCCTTCATATTCCTTTTGTCTTTCCTTTGTCTCGGAGAAAGTAGGAGGACCATGTATGTCTCATTTAAAATTACTTGTGATCTCTTGAATTGTCAGGTGGCTCGGTTTTTTGTGTTGCTGTCATCTCTAATTGTTGAGTCACAGCACCTTGTTATAGGCCACTGTATTGTGCCCTCTCTGTTTTCATTTGCTTTATGTATTACTGACTGAAAGATCCAGTTAGAAAAAAGAAATTTTCCCGGCAATGTTGACTTCATATTTCTTTGAATTTGCTTTTTAAAACTTTTCTTCCTCTCGAGCCGAGGGTCTTTTGGAAACAGCCTCTCTGCGTACACATTACCCTCCCCAGACCCCACTTGTGGGATCTCACTGGGTGGTTGTTGTTGCTTTTTAAAACTTTTGAACATCATAAACCTTCTTTGATATTCCAGTTATAACCTAATACTCTCTCAAGCATCAATCTTCCGCCCTTGCTTCTACGTTTTTCTTTTCAGTTGCTTCTTTAAGCTCTTATTGTATCTGGTAGGGAAAAAGAAATAAAAAGTTGGGAAAAACAAATGTTTGAATGTTTTTCTGAATTTAAATGTTATGACTCTACTTTATTTTCTTGGCCTGGTAATGAAGCTACTCTTCTGCCTTTCATTTGAATTTCTACTTGCTCTTCTCAGCTTTCTTCTTATTTTTAAAAAAAAGAAGGGAAAAGGAATAAAGTTTTTGAAGTTGAAAAAGCTAATAAGATAAGATAGCAGAATTCATTCGAGGTGATCCACTACTAGGCCCTCTTTCTATAATGGTGGTGGACAACAAATAAATTGCATACTAGTAGTTGACTTGACCCTAGTCTATGATAATTTTCGTTTCTTAATCTAAATTAAAGGGGGAATGTCGGCTCTACAAACATGGGATGAAGTGGCAACTTGATTGCCAGATATCAAAATTGCAGTTTGATTAGATTCTCCTTTGTCATATCTCAGCTGGCGAGGTACAATTCCTATTCTAGTTAAGAGAATATGTCCATCCTATGACTTTTTAATATAACGGAATACGAGATTCTTGCTACTATTGATAGAGTATAAATTCAATTCGGTTGGCAATATAAAGATATTTATAATAATATCAGTTATAACGTAATTACAAATAAATATCTATAATAAGTATTGGTAACCTAGTCAAGATAGGATTATGTCACGACCCAAAATCCAACTAGTCGTGATGACACCTAATCCAACTCACTAGGTAAGCCAATTAACAATATTCAGTTTCAATGAAATTAATAAAACCAATAAATAAAAGAAATTATCAGAATCTTACACATTTTCCAAGGACTAGTAGTACAAATCATGAGCATCTAAGAATAGAATTTACAAGGCTGTCATGGTATAAATACATCATCTGTTCGAAAAGTACATAAACAGAATTTTATGAATCTAAGACTACCATGAACAAGAGGCTGTTACAACCGGAACGCAGGTACGTCTTCAAGTCCGGCTCCCGTCGAACACAGCAACATCATCAGTCAAAATCTGCACGCAAGGTGCAGAAGTGTAGTATGAATACAACCGGTCCCATGTACTCAATAAGCAACAAACCTAACCTTAGGTTGAAAGTAGTGACGAGCTGGAACAAAGGTCGGGTCCAATACCAATAGCCAACAACAGTTCATAACAACGTATATCAAATAAATAAAGAACTAGATCAGAGATAAAATGCTCAGCTTTTTTATAGTTTTTCGAAAATAGTTCGCTTTTCAAGTTTATCAGTGAAAACCCAACTCCTTTATCGAAATCATCGAAAACTGTGAGTTTTCCTGAAAATTCTTTCAACGGTAAATATGATATTTCATTTTCTCTCCAGATAGCAAGTGTAAAATACCTCTCGATGCCCATATGTCAATATATGCGAGAAGTCATGAATGACGTGATACCGTACAACATGAGAAAAATGCATCTCTATGTCTGTATGTCATGTCCATGTCAAATGCAATGCGACTCGGTGATAAAACCATATGCATATTTTCAGAGTATCAATTCACTCAGTCCTCCCAGTCACTCAGTCCTCACAACCACTCAATCCTCCCAATCGCTCGACACTCACACCTAGTAGGTACCTGCCTCACTGGGGTGTGTATAGACTCCGGAGGGGCTCCTTCAGCCCAAGCTCTATAACAAGCCAATCATGGCATAAATCAGTAAAACATGCTGCGACGTGCAACCCGATCTCATATATGTATCCTTACCATCAGGCCCTCGGCCTCACTCCATCATCAATCTCTCCAGTCTCTAGGGCTCTCAATGTCATGAAATATCAGCCCAAAAATAATGATGTGATGTATCAGTAAATAGGATCAGAGACTGAGATATAATATGCATATGAATGCGTATGACTGAGTATGTAATGCAATGAAAGCAGATAGCTCAACAACAGAAATGACCTCAGTGGGTCCCAACAGGATAAACATGTAGCCTAGACATGGATTCTAGCATGGATCACAGCTCAATAGCTCAAGTACTTAGAAATTTCATGGTTACAGGTAAGATCAGGTAACTACACAGTGCCACAGAAATAATAGAGTCACAATTCACACGGTGCACGCCCACACGCCCACACGCCCGTCACCTAGTATGTGCGTCACCTCAATACCAATCACATATCACGTAATTCGGGGTTTCATACCTTCAGCACTAAGTTTAGAAGTGTTACTTACCTCGAACAAGCCAATTCCAATACCGAGCAAGCCAAGCGATGCTCCAAAAAATGCCATCTCGCGCGTACGACCTCCAAACGGCTCAAACTAGCCAAAAGAAACTCACATACATCAAATAAAGCCCAAGGAAACAATTTCAAATGATAAAGATCGAATCCTTAATCAAAACCCAAAATCGGCCAGAAGTCACACCCGGGTTCGCGCCTCGGATCCCCACAAAACTCAAAAAATCTGAAGACTCAATCAATTACGAGTCCAACCATACTAGTTTCACTCAATTCTGACTCCATCGATGTTTAAAACTCAAAAATTCATATTATGAAACTTTAGGCTAAAACCCCAATTTCCTCTTTAAAATTCTAAATCCAATTACCAAAAAACGAAGATATATTCACGAAATATAACCAAAACCGAGTAGAGAACACTTACCCCAATTCATATGGTGAAAATTGCTTCAAGAATCGCCTCAATTTGAGCTCCATAGCTCCAAAATGTAAAAATGGACGAAGCCCTCGAAATAGAGTACTTTATACTTCTGCCCAGGCATCGTTGCATCTGTGAATCACTTGGTCGCTTCTGCGGCGTCGCTTCTACGAAAAACATTCCGCTTCTGCAAAGAAGCTCAGTAGAAATGGACCTCGCACTTGCGGATAAACATCCGTTCTTGCGACATCGCAGGTGCGGCACAAGGAATCGAATCCGCGCCATAGCCTGCTCCTGCGCTCAAATCTCGCATCTGCACGCACGCAGATGCGTTACAAAAATTCGCTTTTGCGGTCTTTCCTCACCCAACTCTCACCTTGCATCTGCGATGACACTGCCGCTTTTGCGGCTCCGCACCTGCGCCCATGGCTCCGCAGGTGCGGTTACACCAGAAACTCTACCACTAGCCTTAGCCAAAATTTCCAAAATGCTCCGAACCTCGTTCGGAACTTACCCGAGCCACTCAGGACCCCGTCCAAATATACCAAAAAGTCCCATAACATAACACGGACCTACTTGAGGCCTCAAAACACACATAATAACATCGAAACGATGAATCCTACCTAAATTCAAACTTGATAGACTTTGAACTTTTCAACTTCCATAACTCGTGCCGAAACATAGTAAACCAACCCGGAATGAGCCCAAATTTTGCACACAAGTCCCAAATGGCATAACGAAGCTATTCCAATTCCCGGAACCACAATCTGAATCTGATTTCACAAAGTCCACTCGCGGTCAAATTTTTCAAAAATTCAACTTACGCCATTTTAGGCCAAATTAACCTACGGACCTCCAAATCACAGTTCGGAAATGGTCCTAAGTCCAAAATCGTCCAACGGAGCTAACGGAACCATCAAAACTCCAATACGAGGTCAAATACTAAAAAGTCAAACTTGTCAACTCTTTCAATTTAAAGCTTCTTAGTTGAGAATCTTTCTTCCAAATCAATTTCGAGTAACCTGAAAACCAAAACCGACAATTCACATAAGTCAAAATACATCATATGAAGTTACTCATACCCGTGAACTACCGAGCGAAGTGTAAATGCTCAAAAAGACCGGTCGGGTCGTTACATTCTCCCCCACTTAAACATACGTTCGTCCTCGAACGTGCCCAGAGTTGTTCCAAAACCATCAGACCGCCATGTAAACTTACCATGCACATACCCGGGGGTGATCCCACGTCACCCTATCCCATGTAGGTTTGTTCTACCCTGTAAAAACAATTCTCCAACTGATCTAGCCTACGATAGCGAAGGCTCAAAAAAAGATTGAAGGAACTCTCATTAGAAGGATCATATCCCACAACATAACTGAAATTTCTTAATTCAGCCTAGCCCATAAATCTTAGAACCAAATTTCCAACATCTGGAATTTTCTACAAGACCAGAACCTTGCAATCTACACACTGTATAAGTCTGAACAAGCTGTATCAAGCCATATCCATAACCCAAGATGTAATCACATGATATATATCATAACTCAAATAGGCATAGCAAAATCTCCAATCACAGTAGCTGCCCAAAACAACCCAACTCCAATAATAAACCTTACGTCAAACAAAACCTCGTTCTAAAACCTTTGTATACTGCAGATGATGAAAGAAACATGTAGAAACTCATAACCATTCATCAGATCAACAAGTTATGGTACTCAATCTCCTTCGACAAGACTATAGTCAATTTCTAAGCCGATCAGCAACAATATCCTTCCAAATATACCGCAATCAGATTCGATAGCACCCATTCTAGGTCCGATGACCTCATCTCATCCAACACAACCACTCTAGTGACATGTCACATCAATAACATCTAAAGCCACAACCCGTGCAATCCGTGCTCCAATAAGCAACATTCCAGTGCACCTAATCATGGAAAATGACTCAAATGAGAGAACTGTCCCGCAAGCTCAACAAGTACCGCCACAACGAAATGCTGGAAATCCATCACACACCGTAGAACCATAACCCACGAATCTGTCGCAAACGATCATACCTCAACATAACTCCGCTACAATGCGTGACCCCACCCAAACACTGGTCCATATTATATACCTCAAGCCACCCTGCTCAAAATCAAG